GGCATCTGGAGTCTTCCTGTTCTCTAAGGACACATAGCCACCTAGAAAAGCAGTAGCTGGCCATGTGAGCCAAGGGAAGGTGTCTGCCAGAGCCTTACATACTCAAATGCCAGAACCTCAGCAGTCAGTCTGCTTCAAAGAAATGTTGATTGTAGAGGCATGCTTTTACAGTCACCTTAGCTGAATACCTGTCTTGTTTGCCAGTTTGCACTACTGATCTCAGATAAGAGTTGTCTAGATTTACTTTTTTGTGTGAAGAAATCTGGTTTGATTAATGTTTCAATTATGAAATTTGTTTTTAGGCCCGAAAGAATGAACTTGCCATTGAAGATATGGACGGTGGTACTTTCACCATTAGCAATGGAGGAGTTTTTGGGTCACTTTTTGGAACACCCATTATCAACCCCCCTCAGTCTGCCATTCTGGGCATGCATGGCATCTTTGACAGGCCTGTGGCTGTGGGAGGCAAGGTAGGAACTATTATTTTTGTGATTTTAATTGCTAAGTGGCTATTAGAATTCTAACCAAATCCTTATTGTAAAGCACTCAGTCATTTCAGGCTTAAGTTCCATTTCTTAATTACTAAATGATAGCTAAGACACTGTTTCTAATTGTGATCTATGAATATCAGCGTCATCTGGGAGCTTATTGAAAAAGCAAGCACCAGGCTGGAGAGATGAGTCAGCAGTTAAGAGCATTTGCTGCTCTTGGCAGGGGACCTGGGTTCAGCTTTCACCATCTACCTAGTGGCTCACAGCCATCAGTAATTCCAGTTCTGAGGGATCAGGCACCCGCTTGTGTCCTCAGGGGCCGGCATGCACACGGAGCATATGGATGCCTGTAGGCAGAGTGCTCATACACATTAGTTTTTTAAAAGCCAATTAAAAACAATTTCTTTTTAGACCTGAACTCCCATCTCCAGACAGTTGTGACATGTTAGCCTGAGAGCCACTGAGCTAAGGAGGCTTTGCCCAGTCCTCTGGGACTTGTCGACATGCCTCATTGTCAGAGTGCCACCGGGGGCGGGTGGATGGAGTGGGACGCTCCTCGGCCTGGGAAAGGGACACGATGCTCTGCAGTCTGTGAGCTGTAGAGTTGTGTGAGAGCTAAGTTTTCTGGGAGTTCAAGGAATGAGGCCAGAGAGCTTGAGGTAGCCATTGGAAGGTAAGTTAGTTTTTTTGTTTTTAAAGGAAGACATTTCTGAGACTGCTGTGTTTGGAATGTTTCTGGGTCACCCACTCCTTTGTACTTCCAAAGCCTCAGGTCTTCTTTCAGAAAAAAAAAGAAAGAAAGAAATCTTAGGTCTGATGGACTCATTTAAACCCCACCTTCACAGCTACACACCTAGCTTAACACATAAGATTCATTTTTTTTAAAGATTTATTTATTTATTACATATACACCAGATTGAATTGTAGATGGTTGTGAGCCACCATGTGGTTGCTGGGAATTGAACTCAAGACCTCTGGAAGAGCAGTCAGTGCTCTTAACCTCTGAGCCATCTCTCCAGCCCTTTTTTTTTTTTTTTAATAAAAGTTTCATTTTTTTATTTATGGATTTTCAAACAGATTTTCTCTGTGTAGCCCTATTCTGGAATTCTCCATGTACACCAGACTGGCCTTTACTTGAAAGATCTGCTTGCCTCTACCTCCTGAGTGCTGGGGTTAAAGGTGTATTCCAGCCACTACACTTGGCAGATAGCAGGAAATTTGAACTCAAAAGATTGATTTTTTTCCCCCCCTCAGAGTAAAAATATAAACCAGTGGTAAAGTGTTTGTCTAGTGTGTTCAGAGCCCTGAGTTTGATAATGATAGTACATGCTATAGTTATAGCATTTGGGAAGTAGAGGCCAGAGAGTCAAGAGTGTAGTGTCATCCTTGGTTGTACAGTGAGTTTGAGAACAGCCTGTACTACATGAGACCAATTGCAAAACAAACAACATACATTTTTTTCTCTTTAAATTGTAATTTCAAGGCTAGGGTGTTGCTCAGTAGTAGGGTGCTTGCCTCCCATACCCAAGGCCTGGTGTTGGATGGATCCACAGATTCGGAAAATAATAGTCATAATGATTATAACTTCATTACAGCAGTGGTGGCGCACACCTTTAATCCCAGTACTCAGGAGGCAGAGGCAGGTGAATCACTCTTTACAGTGTAAATCACTGATTTACAGATTTAAGTTCTAGGACAGCTGGGGTGATTCACAGAGAAACCCTGTCTCGATACAAACAAAAAGATTGTAACTTTAGAGTAGCTCCTATAGACAGTCACTACAAGAAAAACCATGCCATAGGTAACAGATTAGCGGGTAGAGTGTAGTGATGCTTATTTGTATTAAAGCAGTTTGAGGAACCTGTTTCCTTCTTTAAACTTTGCTTCTGAGTCCCAGAGCTTTGCTCTAAACATAAGCTTGATCTTCAGAATAAGCCCAAGTTAACCAGAGGCAGTACTGGAATCTAGAAACTCTGGTGTGGGCTCTCCCTTAACAGAGCTTTCTCTGGCCTGTTGGATACAAACCTATTGCCCTCTCCTCTTTACAGGTGGAAGTGCGACCTATGATGTATGTAGCCCTGACCTATGACCACCGGCTGATTGATGGCAGAGAGGCTGTGACTTTCCTCCGAAAAATCAAGGCAGCAGTAGAAGATCCAAGAGTCCTCCTCCTAGACCTTTAGGAGGAAGCCACACCCCCTACCTATTGATCATGCAGGAACTGAAAACCAGTCTTCTCCCTGTCCCCTCACAGCCCCAGGTTAGCCTGATGGCAGGCAGGCACATACTGTTGGCCTCAAGCAAGGAAGCCAGGGACTATGTAACCAGCCTTCCCAGGTCTTAGTGTTCCTTCTAGGCTCTTTCTCTCTGTGTGTCACTCTCTTGCCTTCGATACCTTGGGCCTGAGAAAGAGAGAGAGTGAGAGCCTTAATGGATGCTCATTAATATTCCTGCCTTTCTTCCAGCCCTCTGCAAAGACAATTTTGCTTCTCCCCATAATAGTATACTACAGGGGTACCACCAGGGACCATGTGATTGAATGTCTATCTTTGGAAAGTGTTCTCCAGAGATGCCCAGGGGGTGCTTTGCCTCCCAGGCTCAAAGCCTCTGTCCCAGTTGTGCACACTCTCACACGAGGCCACCTGTGGGAGGTATTGGAAGAGGCCCTGCTTGGCTCCTTAAAAGCACCAGCGTTGTGAGCTGTCAGTGGCTTCACGGTGCCTCTCTACCTCTTCCAGGAAGCACAGGCCGGGGACTCAGGAGCAGGCAGGATGGTGCAATGTCCCCTGAGGTTGCTATTATAATCACAGATGGGAGTAGAACCCTGGCTTGCCCTCAGGCTCACTGGGAAGATTCCTTTTCGCAAAATCATAACTGTGGTCATACCAACCCTTGCCAGGGTTCTAGGAATTGTTCTCACTTAGAGCAGGTTTTAGCACATCATGGCAGTGGGACAGAGCCTGGTAAGGGGACTGGCTCTGACCAGATCAGGTTAGCAAGAGCTCTGAAATTGGAGATGGTCCCAGCACGTGATGGGAAGTGGCTGTTCTCTCCTCTCCCATCCTGGGTGTGGCCTGTGGGGAGTGAGGTCTTGGTGCCTCTTGCAGGACACATAAAGAGCAGGATGGACTGTGGTGGGAACCAGCCTCAGGAGTTAGTACATAGTGATGAAATGGATCTTGTCATCTCTAAGGTACTACCCTTTGGGGACAGGCACAATCATTGGAATTTCTTGAAGCATGGTAAAATGCAAGTAACTCGGTATGAAAGCTCCTAGGCCTTGTATCCAGCTGCACTGAGGCCTGAGGCTGCTGACAATTGACATGGAGCCATTAGTGATAAATGTCCTTTTCTTGTCATCCAGGACAAGCTCGGGGAAGGGGGAGAGACCAGTATTGAGTGCCTGCAGCATCTGCTACTACATCTTCACCATTCAGAACTTGTAACTAAAATATTTAAAGAGACCGATTTTGAATGAAAATTAAAGGGCAAATGTTCTCAAATGGGTTTCCAGCATCTGTGCTCCTTTTGACCCTTGAGGTTGTATACCCTAGTTGAAAGCTACTTCATCTTGAGTTGCTATCCTGTGGGGTCCTGAGGCCCCTCTCCCAGAATTCCAACATGTTAGTGCTGTGCTAATTTAACTGGCAGCCAGGGGAACTCACTAATCTTAGTACTCTGGGTTCCTTTCAGGGAGCCCTGTCGTTCTGACAAGCCAATTCTTGAAGAGAAACCATAGCTCCCACCTGGGACAGCTGCCTTTTTGAGGGGCTTGCATTATTATTTCTGAGATAGAGTGGAGAGACATGAATACTTCTAATGTCACTTGGACTTAGCTGCAGCATGTGTACCAAGATATTTGTGGTTGGAGCAGGAGGGGCAGTGTGGACAGGACAGGGTTGGTCACTGACCGAGATTGGCTACCACGGACAACGGGCATGATGGAGTGTAGGCGTCAACACATCCTTCCTTTTCCACACAGAATCCCATCTGTCGACGCTGCTTGCAGTGAGGCCCTCCCTCCCTCTGTGGAGACCTGCCACAGGAAGGAGGTCCTTGAACAATTGCAGCTGTAGGTGTGCTCAGTGAGTTGTGTCAGGTGTGACCTTGATGCACTGCAGACTTTAGAGTGCCCAGTAAACTTCTGGAGTAGCTGTTGTGTAAACCTTGTCGGAACTGGGACCTTGCTGTTCCAAAGTGATGACTCAACAGTGCTGTGTACAGTGGGCTGGCCAGATGAGTCCAGAAGTGGCTTATACTTCATAAAGCAACGGCTGAAGTCTGGCGTTATGGTCTACCACAGAAGGAACCTACACTAGTCAGCCAGCTCTAGTGGCTGGTTCTAAGTTAACCTCTCAATCTTCCGTGGGCTCACTGGAGATTTGGTAGTTTTCCTCAGGCATGGCGATCTTTTAAGGCATCCCTTCCCTCCCCTTCCTGATCCTCTTGTGTAGCAGCAGGGGCTACGTCCTTGCAGGTCACTCGACTGCAGTAATGATGCAAAGAAGCCACAGAAAGGATAGGCTTTATTAGAGTGGACAAGCCCTAGGGCTGCTGGAATGTGGCCCGTGGAGCAGGTGCGCTTCCCTTGTCCTCACCAGACTCAGGAATAGGAATATTGGGTGTGTCGTGTTACACCCCCCCCCACGCACGCACGCATACACACACATTTGGTGAGCCATGCCAGATACCACCTGTGGTGTAACAATGCAGGGATCTCAGGATTTGTCAAGTGAAATTTTGTTGCATGTGCCACACCCTGGCAACTGGGTTATCCTGAGGCAGGTCCTCAACACCTGGATACCCGCTCACCCAGTTCTTCAGAGACCAGAAATACCTGGCTGAAAGCACTGGATAAAATTGGTCCATATATTCTGTGGGCAGTGAACTGACTAGAACTTCATACCAAAGTGCAGAATGGAAAACAACCAGGCCTGAGAAAATGGTCTGCTGTTGGCCCTGAGGGACAGACTCCTCTGACACAGGAGAGCCAGCCAGAGAAGAAAGCTCTTTACTCTGGTTTCAAACTCCGTCTAAGTGGTAAAGCTGCATTCCCCCACTCAACCCTTCTGGCTGTTCTTTGTCTTAATTTATTTGCCACAGTCGTGGATCATACTCCCCACCGCTCCCCACTTGACCCTACAGAATAACCTACTTGAGTGATACAACTCCTGCGGGGACAAACTTCCTCTGGTGGAAGCTGCCCACTAAAATGGACCCAGGACAGTCTTGGTTTGGCTCTACTGAACCAGAGTTCAGTGTCCTGAGATGTCTTAAGTAGTGTACAACAAGGCAGTGTCAGCAGATTTGTCAGTTGGCTCAGCGGGTGTTCAGGTTGGAGCTAGAGCAACAGAAGGCACCCTTTAACATGATGGGTCCCAGCTAAGGGCACAAGTATGTGCTCAGCAGGCATCAGGTTTGTAGGCTGCTCAGCAGGGTGCACCTCACTGGCCCTGCAGCAGCTTCTACGGGGCTGGCAGATCAGTCTGAGGCCCAGGCAGGTGCTGAGCAGGAAAAGCGGCTATTGCCCCACCTGTGTCTCCTGAAGTCCACTGATGAGGGGCCAGCCCGGTGGTCAACGAAGAACTAGGACGTCTTTGTCTGCTTACCCACCCCTTACCCTGTTAGTCGACTCCATTGGATAGTACTGAAAAAGGGGTGGGACTTGAGTTTGCTGGTGCCACCACCTCCAGCACCCAGGCGCCTCTGGGGATCAAACTGCAACAGCTGTGGGGAAAGAACCGGTGCTCTGCATCACCGCCTCCCGGAACCCCATCACCAACCCTTAAGATGCTCATTCCCTGTTAACCCAGTCAGTAGCCCTCCCCCTGACATTGGTGGTAGCTAGCACAGACATTGGTGGGCATTTACTGCCCTCGTGCTTTCCAGGTGGTTCCTCCCATCCCCCACCCACATACCAATAAGCCATTTCTAGGTTAGCCAGTACCTCACCTCAGTCAGCAGAGAGGCTGCTGGGCGGCTGAGCCACTCAGGGAGCTGGAGTTGGGTGTGGGCCTGGAATCCTGAGGGGTGGTTCTGGGACAATGCCTGGAGAGGAGGGGACACAAGGAGAGGCACCCAAGAGGCCACTTTAGGGAAGCTCACACCCCATGCAGCCAAGATTTGCTCCACCTCCATGACACTCCAGGAGGAAGATGATGCTGATAATTGCCTTTTGCTCGGATCTACAATGACCCAGACACAGAACTAGACTCTTGACATTAAAGACGAGAAACCAGCCCAGGCAAAGGGATGTGGGTTAGCATCGGGGTTTGAACCTGCAGCTTGTTGGAAGCATTATTTCCATTGTCTTTAGAGTGGATGCTACTGGGAACAGCACTAGAACTTTCCTTGCAGAAAAAAAGGCTCCACAAGCTGTCATGTGACAGAGGGCTGGCATGCGCCACTGAGGCCAAGGCAGGAGTGTGGAGAGAAGCAGTGTGTCAGATAAGGGTGAGCTGCAAGAAGACAGACAGGAGAGCCTGCGGGCATTGGCACAAAGGGTTCTCAGAGGCCCCAAGCCACTGGGAACAAAGGCACGTCAGGTCTGCCCCTTAGGTCACACCCCAGTTTGCAGGTGCCACTCAAAACCTTCCTGCTCAAATGTAATTCCCAGACATAGCTCTGGGCTCTTCTGAGAGGAGTATAGAGGGCAAAGCCTTGTCAAGTCTGTCTGTCGTCTGTCTGTCTCTCTGTGTCTGTGTGTGTGTGTCTCTGTGCATGTGGAGGCCAGAGGCTAAAGTTGGGTGTCTCTCCTCTATTCTCTACCTTTTTTTTTAAAGACAGAGTCTCACTGAACCCTACTGACTGGCCAGCAAGCTCTGGGGACCTGTCTGTCTCACCCAAGGCCCTGTGTTAGGGTAGCAGATGTGCTCATCACGCTTGACTCTCACACGGTTGCTGGGGATCAAACCCAAGTCTTCACACTTGAGCGGCACCACCTCCCCAGCCTGCAAGTGGGCTCGGCTGACCGGGTTTGTCAAAGCTGCTGCCGGCTAGCTGCAAGAGCCTTCTCCCACCTTCCAGCTGAGGCCTAGGGATCACAGCTTTGAAGGTGAGTGAGAGTGAACAGTAGGAAGAGACTGGATATAATCCAGAAACCTTTCAGGGAGGGGCTGCTGGCTTCTCCCAACCTCAGGCCAGCCATGCTCTTCGATAAACCTCCCAGCTCACATAATTCACAGACATTGACTGTCTTTAGCAATACTCCCTTGTGTGGTAGGAGAGCTAGTGGCTCTGGTGGCCTCGTGGGAGTGACTTCCTCTAATGTTGGTGGTCTTGTGGGCAGAAGCACATCCAGCCCAAAGGTCAGGCATGGAGAACCAGACAACCTCCATTTTGACCCTGGCTGGCCAAGCCTCTGCTCAGCCTACACTCTGGTCCCCACGGGGCTTCTCTACCCTGCCCAGCTACTCACCGTTCCTGTGAGCAGTTCATATAGAAGAGACCCATAGCTCCACCAGTCACAGGCTTCTGTCAGCTCAGAAATCCCCCCGACCTCTGCGAGAACAAGAATGCGTAAGACAGCCCCTTCGGTTGACATTCTAGTACCCACGGCTCCTCCGTCTGTCTTTAACCCACACGAAAGCACCCAAGATCTAGGAACCTCCCCCAACTCCCTTCTTGCCTGGAGCACTGTACAGGCAGTCCACAGCCTCCTGGCTGCACTGGGACTCCGCTTCTGACCACTGGCCAAAATATGTGAGTTGGATGTGACCTTGTCCAGGGAATGCCAGGAAGAATGATGGGACAAAGGTTGAGTGGCATCACTGAGCAGCTGGAATCTCCAAGGCCCCCCCCCAATCACATTTGGGGCTGAAGGTCATCCCTAGCACAGGGCCTAGGGGTGTTCCCAGAACTGTAGCCTCAGGCTCAGGTCCTCTGTAAAGGGCCAGAAGGAGTGGGAAGGAACAGCATATAGCCTTATGATCTTGGGAGTCCTGTTGATGCTGGGCTCCCACCCAAGGAGCAGGGTTGAAGCAGGGAGGCTGGGCTCCTACCTGCCTGGTCCAGAAGCAGGTTCCGGGGGTTGAGGTCCCGGCAGAGCACCCCCTGCTGGTGTAGTGCCTCCAGTGCCACCAGCATCTCTGCTGCCCACTGCTTCACCTGTTCCTCCCTCCGGCTCCACACAGCTCTTCCACACCCCAGGCTGGCCCTGTTTGCTGATGGGGGGTTCTGACCTCTGCCGCGGCCATAGGCCCCTAGCACCCGGTCAGCCCCTTCCTGTACCCAGTGGAGCTTCCGGCTGGGTGCAGGGTTCGAATTCTGGCCCGCTCGCCGGACTTGACTGCGCAAGTGGCCACATGGGGCTTCTCTAAGGTCGGAAGAACAGAAAGGACTGGCCCTGGCTGAGGGTTCACTGTGAGCCTCTTCCTGAAGCTGGAGGGATGAGATCTCCCTGGCTGGGGTTAGACTCTGACAAGTCCATGGAGGCCCCGCTGGGACTCTGTCTGGCCCCAAGGTGTGGCCTGGGAGCCTTGTTGGGCTCATGAGGCAGAGGCTGTTGTTGAGCCGGACTTTTGACTTCTCCTGGGCAGAGTCAGACTTGAGCCCAGAATACTGGAAGTGAGCCTGGGAGAGTAGATGTGACCACAGAGTTCCTCCTGGAAAAAACGGGGAGTGACGGTGTGGCAGGGAGGAGAGTGGTCCAGGCCCCACCCTGCCCCGCCCATGTCAGCATCCCCCCTCTTATTCAGTCATCTCATCACCCTGCTCTTCCACTTTGTGACAGGGACACACTCTCCCCTGCTCTGACCCACTGCCAGGGAGCCCAGCGTCACAGCCCGCACAGCTGATGCGAGGGAACTTGGTTTGAGTGAAGCACCAGCTTGTTTGGACACCAGTGTTCAACACGTTACGCTTTCTCTTTTGTTTTTGGGAGAGTGGTGTCACAAGGGGTAAAGAGACAAAGCATGGATTTACAGTGACTACGCCATGACCCAAGGCTGTGCCACACATTTTTTTTTTTTTTTTTTTTGGTTTTACGAGACAGGGTTTCTCTGTATTGTTTTGGAGGCTGTCGGTCCAGCCCGGCCTCGAACTCACAGAGATCCACCTGCCTCTGCCTCCCGAGTGCTGGGATTAAAGGCGTGCACCGCCGCTGCTGCCACCACCACCCAGCTTTGCCACACATTTTAACATCACTAAATATCAGTCACATGGTTCAGTTCCCATCTTTACAGTTTTACACTCTATAGACCATTGGGGATGGGCGCTGACCAGGAAAATGCAAAGAGCCAAGAGGAACAGAAATGCTAACAAAGAAGCCAGTCTGTCTATGCCGGGACACGCTCTGTAGGACGTCCTCTGCTCCCTCAGCACCACACAGAAACCCACAGCAGCCTGGCCCTGCCCGTAGCCTTCAGAAAGGCTGGGATTCCTGTCGGTGCCACACGTCTTCTCGGGGCTCAGCATCTTTTTCTGGGGTGGGAACAGTAATGCCCCAAAGCTCAGAGTTGATGGGGCCCCCGCCGGTCCCTCACCTTGCACATGCTCCAGGTGCAGGAAGATGGAGTCTTCACTCACAAAGTACCGCAGCAGCTTTGTCATGTAGGGGACTCCATGTGGGATGATAGTCAGCCGCTCCTGACTTACCACGTGGCACCTGGGAAGACTCTGGGGAGGGGACAGGATGTACATGAGCTGATGTCACCCATGCTCTGGCTTCAGGACACTAGGATATGAATTAGGAGCCAGACTGAGAGTCCATGGCTCCCCTCAGTACCTGGCCGGCCCAGCCCTCACCCCTATAATCGCATGGAGTCTAATGTCCAAGGATGAGGTAGTATGCATGCATGTCAGCCTTGGACAACGCTCAGAACCAGCAGCCTGGGGCTTTGGAGGGAGCATGGGCCTCATATGTACATTCCAGGGAGAGGGTAGACAGGGGTCCTAAGATCTCTGAGAAAGTTCCAAGAGAAGTGCCACATGGCAACAGCTGGGAAGCACCTGCCTTCACAATGAAGGTTCCTCCCGTTGCGGGGTCCTGGACCAACTGCACCTGTCAAAATTCAGGAGGCACTGGTCAATGTATACGTTAGTTCTTGGCCTGTCCATGCCCTGAGGCTGACAAGCATCCTGTCCTAGTGACTAGCGACCGGCCCTTGTTATACCCAAAGATCTAAGCTCTGGTGCTTTTTCCTCCAGCATCTGGGACCCCTCCCCTCAGGGGACCTTTTTCACATTATCTAACCTCCTGTATCCCTTGGTTATGAGCTCCACAAGGGCAGGGACCATCCTGTCCAACTTGGGATGCCCACAGTTCTGCAAAGTTGAAGGATGAAGTAGGTACTTCACATATGATGGCGAGTAGTCTAAGTACCCTCTGATGTATTTGCAGAACCCTCATTAGAACACCCCTCCCCATACCTGCCCACTTAGCTAGGCCCTATGTGGCCCAAGGACAACCAAAGTCAACCCCTCACTGCAGGCTTTGGCCCAGAGCCCATCGTCCTGGCAGGGATTGAAGGGATTGAAGGTGGTGTAGTTGAAGTACAAATTGCTAGTCAGTTCTCCTGACCTTTGCTTACAAGTGAAGCTAGGCTAGGCACGGTGATGCACGCCTTTAATCACAGCAGAGATTGAGAAAGGCAGAGGCAGGCAGATCTCTGTGAGTTCAAGGCCCGTCAAGGCTGCATGGGGAGCCCTTGTCTCAAAAACCAAACCAGCCAGGCAATAGCGGCGCATGCCTTTAATCCTAGCTCTTGGGAGGCAGAGGCAGATGAATCCCTGTGAATTCGAGGACAGCCTCCTCTCCAGAGAGAGTTCCAGGACAGCCAAGGCTACAAAGAGAAACCCTGCCTTCAAAAACAAACAAAGAAACAAAAACCCAAACAAGTGAAGAGCAGAGGCTCCTGAGAATGTGGTCCCAGATCAGGTAGACTGACAGGCAGTTGACAGCCTTCAGGGACTTCTCTGCCTTGCTACATTTCCTTGTAGATAAAGTGCACATCAGCCACCTGAGGCTGCCCTTTGGGAGCTCTCCCCTCCCCTCCCCTGGGTGGCTTTGGTGAGAGGTAGGTGCTCCACCCCTACTAAGCCTTGTTCGGAGTTGGGACCTTGAATTATCTCCTGGGCAGGCACGGGTGGACCCAGCTGTGGGAGAGGGAAGGAGTGGCCTATGGATGTGTCAGAGCAGGAAGGCAGGATTCTGTCAGGATGGGAGCGAAGGCCAGACAGCACTCTTGTGTGATGACGTCACCTGACAGGCCGGCCAGGTGTGACGCTGGCCTCACACTCCTAGACAGTGGGGAAAGCTATAGCCTGGGGATGGAGTTGGGGAAAAAGCCCTGGGTTATTTTTTGATGGTACTGGGGGATTGAACCTAGGGCCTCACACATGCTAGGCAAAGAACTCTGTTACTGGTAGATCCCCTAGCTCAGGGCCCCAGTTTTAGAGCTTGGGCAAATAAACTGACTGACTGTCAAATAAACTGATCAAAGAGGAACTATAAACACCCACCTTTGCTATATCACTGGTTTAATACGAAAGCCCTTAACAAATGCCACACAGCCTCTCTGAGCCTTGTTCTCGTGGTGTGTGTGTGTGTGAGCGTGCGCGCACATGTGCGTAGAGGCCAGAGTTGATGATGCTAGGTGTCTTCCTTAATTGTTCTCCATCTGTCTTGTATTTATTATTATTATTGTGTATATAGTGTTCCATCTGCATGTATGTATGCCTGTAGGCCAGAAGAGGGCACCAGATCTTATTGCAGATGGCGGTGAACCACCATGTAGTTGGTGGAATTGAACTCAGGACCTCTGGAATAATAACCAGTGCTCTTAACCTCTGAGCCATCTCTCCAGCCAATCTCCATCTTAATTTTTGAGGCAGAGTCTCTCACTGAGTTTGGATCTTACCTATTCAGTCAGGTTGGCTGACTACCAAGCTCTGGGGATCTGCCTATCTACCTCCTCCATATTGGCGTTATGGACAATTACCCCACCATGCCCAGCTTTTTTATGTAATTGCTAGGAATCAAACCAATGTCCTCATACTTGCACAGGAAGTGCTCCCTAAAAATGGGATCTCGGCAGTTCACACTTTACAGAGCCATTGTGTGTGTTGACTAAAGCGGAGAATCCAAGTACAAATCCTCCTAGTCTGTGGTAATTATCCCTGTCATTGAAGAAGAAACAAACATGGGCTTTAACGCACCTATTCTGTGCTAAGGACTTTGCATAGCTTATTTAACTGTGGCCTCCCAACCAGGTGGGAGTTATTAGTGAGCCGCTTTATTGATGAGATGGAGGTTGAGAAGTGAAATAACTCACTTTCAACCGTACTGCTAGGTGGTGGCACCAGAACTTGAATGCAGACAGGCTGCTCCTAGAGTGGTTAAGTGCCTGCCCGGCCGGGCCCCAGTTTCTCCATCATTAGGAAAGAGAAAGCAGGGGCTACAGGAGGCGCAAACACCTCCTTCCTTCATCGGGGCCGCAGCATCGCTTCTGACCACAAGAGGTCTCCCTCTGATGGCTAGAGACCTAACTCAGGGCCTTGGCTCTCTGACCAAACTTGCGCAATATTTGAAGAGGCAGAAAACGCTGGGGTCATTTAAGAAAAGTTTCCCACAAGTATTGACACCCCAGATGGTTCCACACCATCCTTCCAAGTGGGATTCCCCGACACCTCCTTGGTCAAGCCCGCTGATTGACAGTCTGGAACCCAGCCAAGGATGGGAGCTAGAAATTAAAGCGGACCCATGTGTCAAAAACCTCTGTATTTAAAACACATTAAAACCCACATTAAAACGTTAGCAATTATCTTGAAGTTAGGTACAGTGGTGAATTAATTTCTTTTCCTTCCTCTGTTTTTTCTTCCTTCCTTTCTCTCTTTCTTGTTTTAAACTCCCTTCTTTTAGTGTATTTCTAGCAGAGTGGGCATTTTCCCACTGGTACAACCAAACAAGCAAATGAAAAAAAAAACCTCTTCCTCTGCTAAGCGGCTTGGGGGAGGGGACACCCAACACCTGACTTCCTTGAGTCTTAGCTTTGTCCCCTTTAAGATGCTCATTAAGGGGCTGGGGATGTGCTTGGTTGGCAGAGTGCTTGCCTGGCCCACATGAAACCCTGAGTTCGATCCTCAGCATTGTATACACTGGGGAAAGTGGTACACACCCATCACCCCAGTATTCAGGAAATGGAGGCAGGAAAACTAGGAGTTCAAGGTCATCCCTGCCTACATAACAAGTTTGAGGTCATCCTGGGCTACATGAGACCCTGTCTCACAAGTGGGGACAATTGTTAAAACACAGCACTGTCAAGTACAGCTTTCTGTGTGATGGGGCCCACACAGCTGAGACACAGAGCATTGGAGTTTAGTTAATCCACAAATGGGGTGTTAGTCTTATATTTGGGAAGACAGAAGGCAGCTGTGGCTACTAACACACACACACACACACACACACACACACACACACTCCCAAGGGCATAGGGAAATGGTTAAGTGGGCTCACTGTGAAGGCATGAAATATGAAACCTGGGCTTGGATCTTCACGAGCCATGTAAGAGGCAGCACTGTTGGGAACAGAGACAGAGTCACTGGGGCGTGCTGGCCAGTGAGAAAGCCTAAGGGAATCCAGTAGAAAGCACAGAGCAGCACAGCGGCATCCTCTGTGTGTTCATGGGCACACATGCATGAATACCGCGGAAGGGAGGAGGGAGGAGGGAGGAGGGAGGAGGGAGGAGGGAAGGAGGGAAGGAGGGAGGAAGGCAGGCAGGGGGCTCTGAGGGGACATGGAGATACAGCATTGTTCAAACACAATGACCCTTTATTTCAAGGCACACAAAGGATCTAATCTTTGGTGGAACCTCTCATGAAGCTAAGAAGCCCCAAAGTTCAAAGGTGTTATTGTTTGTTTTTGAGACAATTATAAAACCCAACTGACCTAGAACTTGTTATGTAGACCAGGCTGGCCTGGAACTCACAGAGATCCGCCTGCCTCTGCCTCCCAAGTGCTGATCTAAAAGGCATGCACCACCACCGCCCAGTGAAATGGGAACTTTTACAATTGAAAATGGTGGTAACAATTAAAAAACAAGAAAGAAGCCGGGTGGTTGTAACACACTCTTTTAATCCCAGCACCTGGGAGGCAGAGGCAAGTGGATCTCTGTGAGTCCAAGGACAGGCTGGTCTACAGAGTGAGTTCCAGGACAACCAGGGCTGTTACACAGAGAAACCGTGTCTCAAAGAATTTTGAGACAAAAACAAACAGACAAACAAAAACCACCTGTATTTGAGTCAAATAAAACAAGCAGCAGCTCGGGAGGCCTTTCTTCCCCATGCCCAACCCAGAGCACGGCTCTCTGAGGAGGTCCTGGGGAAGGTGGGAACAGTCCCTGAAACAGCCCCCAGCAGCCTGGCTGCCTACCTAGTCCCTGACAGGCTCGCTCCACTGCTCTCTTAGCACCTGCATCCCTCCCACAGCCAGCACTTTAAGGGACACAGGATTGTCCTCAGCCAGCCCCTGGCTCCAGGCCTGAGCCTGAGGCTGCCACTGGCAGGCACTGGCACAGCTCTGCCAACTGGATCTGCCTGGGCAGAGCTGTGGAATGGGACTGATGGCCCTAACATCTTTCCTAATTTGGGGAAATTCCTGTCCTTGGCTTGGGCATAACCCAGAGAAGGAAGAAAAGACCCCAGCGGGGAGCTGGCATTCACCTCTTGAGTATCTGAGAGGGGGAAAATGGAAGAGGCAACCTAAATATCTTAGTGGGCACTTCTGCACAGACCTCCGCACCGATGTTTAAAATGCTCACACACTCGCATGTCCCAGGGTTGAACGAATCAGAGCATTCCGAGTCAAGGATTCCCTTGCGGACTCCTGTACACGCACATCCCGAAAGCTCTGAGAATATCTAAAACTAGAGTGCAAGTGACATAACCTCACATCACTGTTTCCCAAACTCACTTAGTTCGGACCCCTCTCTCTATAGCTGGCATCTCACTCAGAGAAACAGTGTCCGTCTGTCTGTGGGAGCAGCCGTGCTTAGCCAAGGTCAGGCTGTGGCCACTGGGCAGCTCAATGGGAGGGGAGGGTGTGACAGCTGGGAAGCCGGCTGGACCTTCACTGAGCCTGGGGCCTGAGCCAGGCACCCGAGAGAAGCAGCTGGAGCAAGGCCTAGGGAAGGAACTAGCACCTTCCCGCTCGTGTCGCTTGCACTCAGATCATCAACTGTGTATTAAGGGCCTTAGTAAGTGCCAGGCCTTTCCCAAAAACTGTTTCATTTCCTTCCCAGATCTTCCATTTGGGGTAGAATTCCCACCCTACTTTACAAATGAGGAAACCAATTCTCAGAGATTCTCGGAGCTATGAGGGGACTTGTCTACGGTTCATTGGTCAAACCCAGGCCCTCCCAGGCAGCACGCTGCCCTCTTGTGTGGAAGAGAATTACACCCCGCTGTCCTTGTCTCTATGAGCGCCCAGACCCACCAAAATTGCCCAGTGTTTTCAACTACACATTCTTGGGTTCAGTCCTAGAAATTCTGACTCCCTAGTTTGTCATGGAGTCCCAGTATCTATATGTTTGAGAAACTCACCAGATGACTCTCATCAACGGGCAGTTTGGGAAAGAACTCTTTAGAGAACCCTGGGCGAGAGGCAGAGGGCAGTCTGATACAGGCTCAACTCCCACATGACCTAGTGATCTCTTTGCCGCTCAGATTTCTCCACTTTATTACTCTTGTGCTGTCATGCCCTGTCTCCTTGTCCATCCTGAATTAAGGGAAAGGAGCGGGGTGGGCCCAGACGAGGGCAGGAGTACCGGAAGACAAAGGCCCCAGGCCATGCAAGCCACCTCACAGAAGTAAGTGCTCATGCCTCTGGACGGGCTGGGAGAGGGACCTTTGGGCACAGGAAGTGCCCAGCTGTGTGTGTCACGGATACTCGGGGCTGCAGTTCTGGTGTGCAGAGTGAATGCAAGGTGGAGGATTGTGGGAAATGGGTGTGACCAGGGCAGTAAGGGCTGAGGAGGTCACTGGGCTCAGCTCCTCCCATGGTCTCTGAGGGTTTTCTGTGCCAGAGCTGGAAGGTAGAGGGAAACAGACTGTCTTTTCTCTTTCGCATTTTCCTCTCTAGAACCTGACTGGTGGATTTTGGAAGAGAAAGGAGCCACTGGCTTCAGCTGCTGTCCCCTCTGAGCCTGAACACCACCCTCTGGATGCAGGCAGCTGCTGCAGATGCCTTCCTGTTGCAGACTATTTGCTTACACTGTGTGAAGATGTGTCACCATGATTGGTTTAATAAAGAGCTGAATGACCAATAGCTAGGCAGAAGAGATGAGGCGGGACTTCCTGGCAGAAAGGAACTCAGGAGATGAATCTAGTTGTATATGAGAGGCCAGAGACACATGGATCAAGTTGGACATACAGAATGGAAGAGACATAAAAAATCCACACGGCAGAATGTACAAGTTATAAGAGCTAGTTGGGAATGTGCCTAAGCTGAGGTCACGCTTTCGTAATTAATAAAACGTCTCCATGTCATTATTTGGGGGCTGGTGATCCAAAGATAGTCTGAAAAGAACGCTTGCTGTACTTTCCATCCTACCCCACCCTCCATCCTACCCCACCCTCCATCCTACCCCACCCTCCATCCTACCCCACCGTTCCCTCACCTGCCACCCTGATTGTACACATCTGCTTCCCTCCCCACAGCCAGTGCTTGCTCACCTTGTCAATGATCCCAACTACCCTGCAGCCCCTCAGCTGCTCCAGAGCAGAGCTCAGTGTGCGGATGGGCCGGAGCCTCAGGCTGCTGAAGCCCTGCAGAGGAAGGAGACAAGGCCTCAGTCATGGCTGCCTCAGCTTGGGCTATGCACAGATGCTTTTGGGTGCCGGGAGAGTCCTGGGGGCCACAGTGGTTAGGGCTTGGGATCTAGGAAGACTCTGCCACACATGGACAGACTGAACAGAGGACCCGTCCTTGACTCAGAGTTTGAGAGCACACTGATTCAAGGCATCCAGGCTGACTCTGGGCTCAGCCCCTTCCCAGTCGTGCTAGGAGGACTTCTTAGAAGTCCCTTCTCAAAAGCCTTGTCTACAAAGGGCAGAAGCTCTCAGGGTTTGGGGTGGAAACATAGGAGTCTTAACCTCAAACTTTAGATAATCTACTTTTGTGAAAGGAAAGCCACAGGACGCAGTGAGCCTAAGAGTGTGTGGGCCTGAGGCATGGAGAGAGTGTTTGGTCAGTGGGTTAGGAAAGTAACAGGAGGAACATTGAATGCATAGTTATTCCGTGTGAGCGTGCGTGCGTGTGTGCATGCATGTGTGCATGCGTACGTGCGTGCATTCCAAACACTTGTGGCGTATCCACTCAACAGAATCCAGAGGCTCTACGAGTACGTGTGAGAATGGCATGGAGTCCATGCAAACTGGGGTGGGTGTCTGTGTCATGCCTGCCAAGTGCTCTGTGAGACTGATGAGGAGGTGTGAGGGTGTGGGAGAGAGAGGAGGGATGGGAGGGCACCCCTGCTTGCACCTGGACTCACACCCTCCCCTACCCACTCTTCCAGAAGGAGGAGGGGAGCGGGGTGGGAAGTGGCTGCCTCTCCCCAGAGTTCCCTTCCCTTCCTCAGGGACCCAGGGAGGCTCTGCTCACCGTGTTGGGGCTGGCTCCGCTGCCCAGCGCCCGCTGCAGGTGGCAGTTAAAGATCTCCTCGGCCCTCCGGAGGTACTTGGTAATTTTCAGCTTCACAGCTTCGCATCTCTCCTTGTTGGGGTCAACTGTGGGGGAGGCGCGTGGTCACCAGGGCTGTGCCCGCCCCTCTATCCTGGGCTTTGCTGGTGGGCTGACACCAGCTCCTGCTAGCCACCTCTGCCGATCAGGGCCAATGGCTCCTATTTCCCAGGCGGTTCTAGCTGGCTCATCCTCTGGCTCTGTGTTTGAGCTCCTGCTCCAGGGTGAGAGCAGGGCGGAGAAGAAAGACGGGGAAGGGAACTGGGAGCCCAGTCGCCCCTCAGCCGACTACTGCTCTATACAGCTGGTACCCACCACCTCACTGGCTGTTCTCACATTCTGGAAAAAGGTGGAGATTCACATACCCTTTTCCTTCAGAAGAGGAGACAGAAGCTTCCAGAATACAGTGCTTCATCTATCTCTTGCCAGCCATGGAAAAGACCAGGGTGGAGACCAGATTAGATGGAAAACGAATGCACCAGGGCTCCTGAAGCCTGGGCATGGTAGGTTCTCTTCAATAGAGGGTTAGGGTGGCTGTGGGCACCATAGCTTGGCCCCAGGCTCTAGAGTCTCCAACTGGCCTCAACATGGAAATGCCTTTCTGCCCTGATCAGCCCCCCGCCCCAAGCCCGACTCCCTCACCCTCTACAGAACACTGCCAGGCCCTCTGCTGGACAACACACATACTGTCGTTCAGCAGTCCCATCAGTTGTAGAAATGCCCCGTGCGAGGCCCATCTGACCTCGGGTTTCCTCTCCCCTCCCTTTGGCCTCCCCTCCTTGCTCTCCAGTGTCAGACAGCTCTCTCCCCTCATCTGGAGTGCAAGAGGGCCACGCCCAGCCCAGTGCAGTGGGTCAGGTACATAGCCACTGGAGCCGAAACAGCTCCAACTCTCAGTTTGCCTTGGTAGCTGTGGAGCCTTTGCCAAGCCTTGGGCAAGCTCTCTTAATGCTCCATGCCTCAGGAATGAGTATGGAAGTTAGCTCTTGCCCAGAGTCACATATGTTGAGGTCAGGAGACTGAGACAGGAAGGGCAGCCTGGGCAACAGTGAAAGGTCTATCTCAGACAGCGATGGTGACAGCACTTCCTGTATACTCATAACTATCTGCAATAAAAAGCCTATTAATGTGAGACTCAAATGAGTTAATACAGGCAGAGTCTAGTGGGGTCTACCATGCAGAAATGCCTTCACCAATTCAAGTCCTCATTCGTATCCTTCATGGAGGCCTGGCAGGGTCAGCACAGTGCCCCCACCCCAGTAAGGACAGACAAAGGGCCCTTTGCGGCCCACCTTCTGTCCCCAAGTGTGCCCATCCTCACCATGTACGCCCCGGAGCAGCACGTCCACACCGTTCTGGTAGTGGTTGAAGGCCGCCTCATAGTCCTCACTAACATCTCGCTCCAGCGCCAGGTGGATCTGTGTCGCTGCATCTACCAGGTAGTCACGCTTGGTCACGTCAGACGTCCCTGTAGCTACCCGGTTGCGAATCTGCTCCAGGTACATGCAGGCCTGAGGCCGTGCTCGTGAGCAGGGCTCCGGCTCCAGGCCTGGGCCCGGTGGACACTCACAGGCTACCAGGCTCATAGTGGCCCTGCAGCTTCGACCTGCAGGGAGCAAATGCATTAGGGAGGCACTTGCTGGGAGTCACCCAGCTCCCCACCTGTACTCCAGCCTCCTCACTAAACACTGGGGAGAGTGATAGCCTCATGCGAGGCTGGAGGGATTTGAGGTAATGTTTGGTAAGGTCCCTTCCTTGAGCCGATCCCACCTCAGTGGTGGTAATGACAGATTAGCACAATTGGGACCTTTCTTCTCTGTTCCATTCAAGTTCACTTCCACAAGTAATTCCCCTGAATGCTGTCTGTGTGGAGCTGGGGATGCCTGTGGTCCACAGCTGCCTTCACGGGGCGTCCACAGAGCAAACTCAATGTCTAGCACACAGTAAGCAGACCCAAGTCACACACACACTCAAAGCTTCTGCTCCTTCTGGTCCCCCACCCCTCCCTGCTCCTTCCCTTGTGGAACTTTTTGTTGTTGTTGTTTTGCTTTGTTTTTTTGTTTTTCGAGACAGGGTTTCTCTGTATTGTTTTGGAACCTGTCCTGGAATTTGTTCGGTAGAGGCTGGCCTGGAGCTCACTCTATAGACCAGGCTGGCCTCGAACTTACAGAGATCCGCCTGCCTCTGCCTCCCGAGTGCTGGGATTAAAGGCGTGCGCCACCACCGGCCCCTTGTGGAATTTCATTCAACCTTGGGCTTCAGCTCTGTGGCACCTCTCCCCTAGACAAAACACATGTCTAGGCTTTTTGCTAGCTTTGCCCCTAAGGTCAGGAGTCAGCGAGTAAGGAACCCCCTCATCCCCCAGGCATCAAGCGGGGAGAGCAGACAGAGCCAATCAGAGCCCCTTGGCAGATGAGGCGACTGAATGACAAGATTAGATCACAGTTCACGTGGAGTTCAATGACGGTCAGGGTGAGCTGATGACTCTTCCTCCCGACACTCAGAAGACCAGGGACCAGTGTACCCTCCCAAACCCCTGGCACCAACCCCTCCCTAAGCAATGAACCACACCAGTGACCCAAGAGCGGGGAGCAGCAGCTGCCAGAGGGGAAGGGCCGAGAAAGAAGCCAGCATCCTGGTCTCTGTCCCTCACGGCAGTCAGCCAGCCACCTCTGCTGTCTCAGGAACTCTGGAAAATGGCCAGGGGGCAGTTTTTATGCACCGGGTAAAGGGAGAGGTGGGAAGGAAACAGACGTTTCCAAGCAGCCAGGAGCTGAGCCATGGCCAGGATGAGGCCGGGGGATGGAGAAAGGCGGCCCTGCTGCTCTGCCAGGCCCAGCGGGACAGGTAGCTTTGAGGCCAGCGCCCGCTGCGCAGGGCTGCGGTTTCGGGTCCAGCTGCATGCCTAAGACCACACACCGGTCAAGCAAAGAGCGCGAGCGCGTCCCGGGCACACAAGGTGCATCACTCCAGGGAACGTCCAAAGAGGTCGGGCTGAGGAAGGGCGAGGAAGGCTCCTCCCGAGGATGGCCGAAGAACAGAGCAAACACTGTACCTGTCCTCGTGCCAGCTGCGGGCCTCCCGGCTAACGCTGTCCCTTCACCTCCGCAAGGATCCGCGCCTAGCACCCTTCCGCAGGTGCCTGGGGGAAGGGGTGGGGCGTCCCGCCGGTGCCTGCTGGCCATTGGCTACGGATGAGCTCATCCTCAATCCGTTAGAATAAACCTCCAATCATCGTCCTCCTCGGCTTCGGGCAGCTCTTAAAGCCCTAGAGTTTGCAAGGCCTGAACCTGGGACTGGGGTAGGAGTGGGAGTGGGTGCGATGGATGGGGATGCGAGGGTGTAGGGTGGGGAGGAGAGATCTGTCGCCATCAGGGGCGGGGGAGGGGCTGCCTCAGACCTCTAGGCCAGATGAAACGCACCACACTTCTGAGACCTTTCTCATTCACTACTTGAGTCAGTCAGTGTTTCTCTGTTGGGTGTGTCGTCTGCCCCAGGGCCTGGCTGTAGGGACGCCTCGATGGCCTCCACAGATCTGCCCGCATCTTCCTGGCGTTCAGGTTGAGTGAGAGGCGCAGCGCTGAGCAGCACGGGAGGCTATGGCCTAAGCTGGAGTCAGAAAGAGATTCCCGAGGAAGCCACATCTGACCGGTTACCCGTCAGAACCGCACTGCACATAACCATGGTCTTGCCTCTTTGATAGCTTGCCACCATGCTATCCTCCGGCTGCTCCACCACACCCCCTCGCACCCAGAGCTGTTGCTTTCTCTAGGTACCAAACTCAGGTCACCAGGCTCAGAGGGCAAACACACTACCCACTGAGCTGCCTCGCCAGCCCCACATTCATCCTTATTAATATAATAAATATTATTATGATATAATAAAGCATCTCAAACCCAACAAGCTAAACAAAACTAAAGCATAACCCATAGAATGGGAGGGAATGTTTAGAAATTGTATACTTGATAAGGGTCTGGCATCCAAAACATATAAAATAATTCTTACATTTGTCTTAGTCGCTGTTCTATTGCTGAGAAGAGACACCATGCCTGGGCAACTTGTATGAAAGAAAGCGTTTAACTCGGGGCTTGCTTACAGTCTCAGAGGCTTAGCCGGTTAGCATCACGGGGGGGGGAGCATGACAGCATACAAGAGCAGTAGGTGAGAGTCAAATCCTGATCCATAGACAGAGAGAGAACCTGGGTCTCCAACGGGCTTTTGAGACTTCAAAACACCCTCATCCAGCAGGACCACACCTCCTAACCCTGCTAATCCTATCAAAGAGTGCCATTCCCTAAGCATTCAAATTTAGGAGTCTATGGGGGCCATTCTTATTTAAACAACTACACATTTTAACAAAAATGTCAAGTTTTTGTTAAAGCTCAAAGATAAAAAGTTCAAGCCGAGAGGTGGTGGCGCACACCTTTAATCCCAGTACTCTGGAGGCACAGGCAGGTGGCTCTCTGTGAGTTCAAGACCAGCCTGGTCTACAAGAGCTAGTTCCAGGACAGCCTCCAAAGCCACAGGGAAACCCTGTCTCAAAAAACCAAAAAGATAAAAAAATTAAAAACTGAGCAAGGGATTTTAATAATTTCTTCAAAGAAGATATGAAAACAACTAATAAATAGATGAGAGGATATTCAATATCGTTGGTCCCTAGGGAAATGCAAATTAAAACAACAGACACCACTGGCACTCACTGGATGCCCATACTAAATGATTACCATAGCAAGGCTTGACAAAGTTCTGGAGGAGCTGGGACTATACTGCTGTTGAGGACGTGATGTGGCTCTGCAGAAATGAGTTAGCAGATGCTCACAAAGTTAAATGGACAGTTACAAATGACCCAGCCTCCCACTCCCGGGCATCTCTGTGAGACTCAAACACACGCTGATGTGAAAGTCTGAACATAAATGCTGTTAGCAGCAGCGGTCACAATAGGCAACACGGAAGTGTGATGTTGGCACACAACTGTAATCCCAGCACTCAGGAGCCTGAGGCAATAGTATCTTGAGTTTGAAGCCAACTGGGACTATACAACAACAACAACAACAAATTTTTAAAGTAATTCATGCTGCAAATGCCTGTCACCCCCACACATGGAAAGAGGAGTCAGGAAGATCAGGGGTTGGAGGTTATCCTTAGCTATATTGTGAGTTTGAGGCCAACTTGAGCTACAGGAGATCCTGACTCACCCCCTCATCTTCTCCCTCTGTATTTTTGAAATGGGGCCCCATGTAGCCCAGGCTGGCTCTAAACTCATTATGTAGTTAAAGATGATGCTGAACTTCTGACCCTCCTGCCTCAACCTCCAGAGGGCTGGGACTCGAGGTGCGTTTCACCATGTCTGGTTTTCTCCCCAAAATTGTTTTTTTTTTAACAATTTATGAAAATTTTACATAAAATGAACTAATATTGGGGTATAAAAGGATGAAATACTAGCCAGGCATTGGTGGCACACACCTTTAATCCCAGCACTCGGGAGGCAGAGGCAGGCGGATCTCTGTGAGTTTGAAGCCAGCCTGGTCTACAGAGTGAGTCCCAGGACAACCTCTGAATCAATGCAGAGAAACCCTGTTTCAAAAAACAAACAAACAAACTAAAAAGGGATGAAATACTGATACTGCAACATGGATAGCCCTTGGAAATAGTTACTAAGTGAAAGAAGACTACGTGCTATTTATATGAAGTTCCCAGAACAGGCAAATCTGTAGAAACAGACAGAAAGTAGATGTCAGAGAGGGGAGAATGAATGTTGGTTTCTTTGGGAGGAGGCTACCCATGACTGTAAGGTAGACAGTGGGAAGAAGCTATCCATGGCTGCAAAGTAGACATTGAAAATTGCCTCACAAACTTATGAAGATAATAAAACTCAGTGAATTGTAAATTTTATTTTTCAAAATCACTTCGGTTTTTCCTGTGAACTGTAAACTTTATTTATTCTTTACTTTTTAGATTTTTTTTTTGTTTTTTGAGACAGGGTTTCTCTGTGGCTTTGGAGGCTAGATTTTTTTTTTGAGACAGGTTTTCTCTCGGTAGCAACCCTAGCTGTCTTGGAACTCTTTATAAATCAAGCTGGCCTCAAACTCAGAGATTCACTTGTCTCTGCCTCCTGAGTGCTGGCATCAAAGGCGTGCACCACCATGCCTTGCTGTTTTATTCTGTGAACTATAAATTTTAGAGGATCCTGTAGATCCTCACTGTTGGAGTCATTCTGACCTCTATTTTCTTCTCACATGCTACCTTTAGTCCATTTGGACATCACAATGGTTTTTCCTCCCCAAATCCAAACAATTCTTCCCCATTTGCTGCAATGCCTTTGACGTGAGCGTCTTTGTTTGCTGCTCCATTTACTGTGAGAGCATTTCCAACTAATTTGGTTTTGGTTTGTTTTTGTTTTTTGTTTTTGGTTTTTCGAGATGGGGTTTCTCTGCATTGCTTTGGAGGTTGTCCTGGAACTTGCTCTGTAGACCAGGCTAGTCTTGAACTCACAAAAATCTGCCTGCCTCTGCCTCCCGAGTGCTGGGATTAAAGGCAGAGGCAGGCGGATCTCTGTGAGTTCCAGGACAGCCTCCAAAAGCAATACAGAGAAACCCTGTCTCGAAAAACCAAAAAAATAAAAAATAAAGGCATGTGACAACATCACCCAGCTCTGTTTGGGTTTTAAGATTTATTTATTTATTATGTATAGTGTTCTGTCTGGATGCATGCCTACATACCAGAAGAGAGTACCATTACAGATGGTTGTGAGCCACCATGTGGTTACTGGGAACTGAACTCAGGACCTCTGAAAGAACAGTCATTGCTCTTAACCTCTGAGCCATCTCTCCAGCCTCCTGTTTGGGCTTTTTAACATTATATTATTTTATTGTGTGTATATGCACACACATACACACACAGAGAGGCCATGGCACATGTTGACTGCAGTGGACAACTTAGAGGAGTTGGCTGTCTCTCTCTACCGCACACGCCCAGAGATCAAGCAACCAGGCAGCCAGCCTTGACAGCAGGTGACATTCCCACTCTGAGCCATCTCACTGTCCCCTGGTTTTGCTTTTAGGGCAGGATTTCCCTGTGTTGGTCAAGTTGTTCTCTAGTTCATTAAATTTCCTGACTCTGTAATGTTACCTTGCCCTGACTTACTAATTGATTTTTCAAAAGCATAAACAAATTGGAGCCTGGAGAGATGGCTCAGTAGTCAAGAGTACTAGCTGCTCTTCCAGAGGACTCAGGTTCGATTCTCAATTCCCAGTACCAGCAAGGCAGCTCACAATGGTCTGTAATTCCAGTCCCAGGGGATTTTATACCCTCTTTGGCCTTTGAACACATATGGTAAAACATAGATGCAAACAAAACACCCCAACACATGAAATAAGTAATCATAAAAATTGCAGATAGCGCTGGGCGTTGGTGGTGCACGCCTTTAATCCCAGCACTCAGGAGGCAGAGGCAGGCGGATCTCTGTGAGTTTGAGACCAGCCTGGTCTACAATAGCTAGTTCCAGGACAGCCTCCAAAGCCACAGAGAAACCCTGCCTCAAAAAACAACAACAACAAAAATTGCAGATAGTAGCTAGGTGGTGGTAGCGCACATGTCTAATATCAACACTCGGAAAACAGAAGCAGGAGGATCTCTGTGAGTTTGGGGCCAGCCAGGTCTACAGAGCAAGATCTAGGACAGTCAAGGCTACACAGAGAAACCCTGTCTCTCCAAAAACAAATAAACAAAAAAATGCATGTAGTAGAGTTCACAGTCTGGTTATGTATTCTTGACTTACTGTGGGAAAACCCTCACCTCATCCTCCTCTTCCTAATGTTGTCCTAAAAGCAATGGCCACTGCCACCCTGGGGAGCCCTCACAGCGTAAGTAAGCTCTGCCCCTCCTTGCGCAAACCTGTGAGGGCTCCCATCTTGTTTCCTTGCCCTTCCTAATTTCTTCTCCCTTACTGACCTCACCCATCCTATTTCAGTCCAACAGCCCAAGCACTGCTTACCCCAAGGCCTTTGCCTTGAAGCTGCCCCCTTCTGGGTTAGTCTAGTTTCCCTTCCCCTGAAGTCAGTGGCTGAAATAATAATCTTCAAAGTCGGGCCCCTCTTCTCCTTCTCTCCCTAGACTGACAGCATGGCCTCTAATCCACTCGTTTCTTTCTCTATGCTCACATTTCTTTCCTATCTCTGGT